TCTTCTCTTCTTCTTCTTCTTCTTCTTCTTCTTCTTCTTCTTCCTTCCTTCCCCCCACAACACCTCATCACCTATTATTTAGGGAGATTAAACAAGAGCCTGAAGAACCTGAGATAGATGTATGGGAACTTCTGAAGAATGCAAATCCCAATGATTATGAAAAAATTGCATTTCAGTATGGAATTACTGACTTGAGAGGCATGCTGAAACGTCTGAAGCGCACCCGCAGAGAAGAAAAGAAGAGCGCAGGTATGACCAATAAGGAAAAGCATGTTTTGTGTTGTTATTCTTTGTACAGTGTTGTGGTTAATTCTAGCAGTTGAGCCAGACAAGTTTTTTTTTTCCTAATACAAGAGTGATCCAATTAGCAAAACAGCAGGTTTGTGCCCCAAACCAGGCCTCTGTCTTTGTTATCTTGTCTTTATTTATTTATTTATTTATTTATTTATTGGACTTATATACCGCCCCATAGCACTACAAGCACTCTCCGGGCGGTTTACAATTTAATTATACAGGCTACACATTGCCCCCCCAGCAAGCTGGGTACTCATTTTACCGACCTCGGAAGGATGGAAGGCTGAGTCAACCTTGAGCCGGCTACCTGGGATTTGAACCCCAGGTCGTGAGCACAGTTTTAGCTGCAGTACAGCGTTTTAACCACTGCGCCACGAGGCTCTATAAGTTCTGTAGTGCAGGAATGGACAACTCTGTCTTTCTAGATATTTTTGGCTTTTCTTTCATATGAACCCTAATTAGTGGTGAGTGATTCTCAGAGTTGCAGTCCAAACATCTGGAAGGCCACAGTTGCTCAAGCCTCCTCCAGCAAGCTCTTCCCAAATGCAGAGATCTCTTTGGCTTCCTGAACTACCTTTGATCTCCAGGACCTTCTTTGCCATATGTGATCTCTCACATATGCTTAAAGACACTTATTTAAAACACTTAACTCTTACTTTTCCATTAACATTAAAGTAATAATAAAAAAGTTTAAAACAGTCAGAGCAAATGAGAAACATTCAAAAAGCAATTAAATACTGTACATTTAAAAGCAGAATTCAAATATTCCAAAAGAACCGTTAAAAAAAAAACAACAATCGTAGAGTCTTTTCAGAAGGCTTCTAGCTGTGAGCCTCTGACATAGAAATGTACTTTGCACAGGAAGAGCTGTAGAGCAAGTTCAAAATAGTACAAACTTCCCACAGAGATCAAAAAAACATAGAAGGCAAGGGGAGGAAACAGATCTAATTGAAGTCAGCCTTATATTGTCCCATATTGGCAAGAAAAAAATAAATGGAAGCAACAGCATTGAAGCAGGCACTTTATCCTCCATGTAGAAAAGTCCTCAAGGAAACAGGCAGGCAAAGCCAAATTTGGAAAAATAGCCCCAGCTTTACCTCATGTTTCACCCATGACTGGCATAAGTGACAGATGGGAAATGTAGGCAGAGAAGTAGGGTTGGAAAATATGGATGGCCATGAGGGATAAACTAGACCCTTTCCCTCTGTACCAGACTAGCTTCAAAGTCCATGTAAACACATCCTTCCCTCCAACAGTTGCTCTTTTAAACAAGATACTGTACATAGAAATAATCTCCTTTTTAAAGTATTTTTGCCTCTTAATTATTTTTATATTTAACCCCAGCATTTGAGGACATGTTTTAAACAGCAATATAACATTTGAAACATCTTTAATGTGATTGAAGGAAAATGCAAATTATCCAGGATCATTTTTTAAGCACTGTAAATTTTTGAGTAGCACTTTCCCCAACTCAATGTTGTCTGACTCTGCTTTCTCTTCCCCAACATCTTTCTCATCCAACAGCTTTTGCAAAGATTCTGGATCCTGCTTATCAAGTGGATAAAGGAGGTAGAGTCAGATTTGTAGTAGAGCTGGCTGATCCCACAGTTGAACTAAAGTGGTATAAAAACGGCCAAGAAATACGACCAAGTGGAAAGTAAGCAGTTTCAAATTTAAATGAAGTTTGAATTCTTAGAATGTACTTGAAAAAAACCAGATTAATTCAAGAAGATTGATTCGGACTGATACTGTTAAGCATGGCAACTAGAACCTACCAACCTACCTATTCTATTTACATCTTACAGTTTCTTCAGTATAAAATGACATATGCGGGTTTCTTCCTTCTTCCTCGTGATATCCTCATAATTCTCCTATGAGGGAGATCAGGCTGAGAGAGAGAGAGTGACTGGCTGAAAAAAAATTGCTCAGAGTAATTACCAACAACTAGAGTAGCCAATTGAATTACTAGGGATTCAGTGATTCAGCTCCTCCATAAGTTGCATTCCTTCCGAGGGTCTACTCTAGTTGTGACTCACTACCTCAAGCAACCAGATTTCAGCCAGTGAACTTCCTGACTCAATGAGTACTATAACACAGAACACCCTACTCCCATTCCCACAAGACTACAGTGGCTAGCTACTACATCAGGAGTTCTGTAGTTGTAAGTGCCCTGTAGTTGTCAGCATTGACTAGAAGGTTGCTAGCCCTACTATTGGGCAGCCAGAAGCTAGCCTATTTCCATCATATGCAGTATGATAGGAGGTTGGCCTATCATGTAGTGAAGTAAGAAATCACTCCCAGTCACCAAGGGGAATTGGAGTGTCATCTTTGCCTTAGAGAGCAAAATATCATGGACTGGGTCCTACTGACAGACCTTCAAGGTTTCTTCTAATTCCTAAACTTTAATGCTGCTAAGGCCATCTTTATCCCTTCCCCCAATTCAACTCTATCTTAATCATACAGAATGTGCTGGGATACGGGATGATTTATTTCATGGACTGGTACATTCAATTCATTCTTTGTTTCCATTATATTAAGCCGTAAAATATAGGCAAATAAGCACTTAAGGAAAGCAAATCCCTTAATGAAAAGGCAGAAAAACTTTTCAAAGAGCTTTGCAAAGCAACCTAGAGGAGAAATGGCAAAGAGAGGAACTGTCTGTTTCTGAAAAGGTCCAAAACCTAGCTCAAGAAGAAGAAGAAGGAGAAGGAGAAGGAGGAGAAGGAGAAGGAGAAGGAGGAGAAGGAGAAGGAGGAGGAGGAGAAGGAGAAGAAACAAGAGCAGCACTTTGGGAGAAGTTTGTCCTAGAACAGAATGATATCCCAGTGATGGCTTTTGACAGTACTGTATCCTAGAACCACAGTCAGGAATATGGATCATGCCTCTGACCACTGCCTACCTTGCCAAACCTCATGTGTTTTCTCTCAAGAAGGCACCACCACCTTGTGTCTTTCAGGGCCCTGAGCAGCTGTTAGATGCTAACAAGCTTTGGTCATTCCTGACCTGAAACAAATGTGATCCAGAGACCTCAAGGTGAAAGGTGCCATATCCTGTTACCTATCCCTTGAGCCATCTGGCCTACCAGTAATGTTGGCTCCTTTACTCCAACTATTATTGTACATTTAAAAAAATGTCAGGAGTGTGGGGATGAAACCTAGGCTCTCATGACGGGTTATTTCTATCTTCACTGATCTAGGGTTTCAGAACCTGTTCTATTTGGATCTCCAGAGATGTGCATTGTAAATTCATGGGGTTTTTCATCCACATGTAGTGATAATGTATTCTTTCACCTTTATGATCAAATCTGATAAGATGTTAAACATATATTTGCATTTAACATACAGAAGCTGTTACGTATTACATCAGTTGGGAGATCCTATCTCTTTATTTGCCAGGATTTGTGAATCATTTATATCAAACATTTTAGTGCAAACATTAAAGAAATAAAATTATGTAAAATTATTAAATAATTAAAATATACATTGACAAATATGATTATAAGCAATAACATAACTTTTAAAATAACAAAATAATAAAAGATTCATAAAGTGCTGATAATTATCATAATTGGAATAAGCATGAGGTAAATGACATCACTGAAGGTGGTATTTGCTGATGAGAGAGGTGCAGTATGTAATCCACCATGGGCAACACATAAGTCATTTTCCTCAGGAGGAGAGGAAAGATCAAATGTCCACTTCCTCACCTGGTATGATTCAAGGTCTCTTGACCCTTTCCAATTATTTGCATTTTTGAATTCTGAATGTTAAAATCAAGGACATAAGTAGCTAGGCTTTTTTAAAACATCTAAGATACTTTCTAGCTTCTAATACCTATAGGTCTGTTCATAATTTCATTTTTTGTTAATTTTTTTATTTTTAACAGATATATTTTTGAGCACAAAGGAAATGAGAGAATCTTATTTATCAATAACTGCATGCTGACAGATGATGCTCGTTATCATGTGATCGCTGGTGATGAGAAATGCTCCACAGAACTGTTTGTAAGAGGTAAGGAATATTGTGTTTTATCCTCGAAAGTTTCTCCACTGAAATGTCAAGCTTGACATTAGCCACTTCATAATTTGAGTATGTATTTATAATTATTGAATCATATAAATTATAATCACATTTTATTTATTTTGTTTTCTAACACTGAAGAGAGCAATTCAAGTGTAAAAACAGATCCAATATGCCATTTGTACCTGTTGTGACTTAGCATCTATTTAATTTAAATTATAAATCAGTTTTGAGAATGACATGGGACAAGTAAATGTCAATTTAGTTATGACTGTTTGTTTCCTGATTGAATGACTCTGGAAGAGGTCAGCTTATTCCAACTAGGTGTGTTTTCACACAGGAAATAAGAATGATGTGTCTTGAGTTATCTGACAACTCCACTACAAAAGCCATCAAGTTTGATATTAGACAGCCTTTCAGTCTCAATTACCTTACAAAGTAGAAATATAGTCAGTGTATAGAAATATAGTCTTACTGATTCAAAGAAGGCTGCAACTAGAACGGTGACTCTGATATTACTGTGACTTCCTCTCTCCCCAGAACCACCAGTGATGGTGACAAAAGGCCTGGAAGATACCAATGCTTATATTGGTGACAAAATAGAGTTATCAGTTGAAGTGTCTGAAGACGATGCAAATGTGAAATGGTATGCCATTTACATCCTTATGTTTTAAATAATTTAGACATGGCCCAGATAAGATCCATTGGGATGAATTGCCAAGTTAGTCACATACAATTTCAATTACGTTACTTTTATTTGGATTTTGGTCATGTCTAACCTTCTGTTCACTGAACTCTTATTCGCCCAAAATAAAACAAAACAAAAGCAAAACAAAAAGCCAAAAAAGTACCCAGCAGAGTGAGGGGACAGTGCTGTCTTACTTTCTTGGGTGGTTAGTGTTGCATTTATGTCTAAATAGCTGCAAAGCCATGCTTAAGCAATAGTTGAAGCAGCAAATATCTGTGAAGCTCATGCATTTGTCACAATGTGATGCTGGCAGCCAAGTTCTAGCCTAGTATCAGAGCAGATAAAACCTATCCTGGCCTTAAGTATTTTGAGATAATGCGATTCAAAAAGTCTGGTGTGTGGTGAGACATGAACAGTGTGGAACACTGCACTGGCTATGAGGTTCAAGGAGTATCTTTGGAAAAACAAGTGGCAATCATACAGTCTAGTTTTCACAGAGATAGCCTTCTTATTATGTTTCAGCATGTATAACAAAAACAAAAGAAAAACAGAAGTATAGTGGCACCTTTAAGGTTTACAGATTTATTTTAGGTGATCTTTAATGGAGTTTGCCAAAGAAAGTGGTTTGTATCCCAGGAAGGCTAAAACTAAAATAAATATGTTAGTCTGAAAGGTGCTAAAATATTTTGGTTTTTCTTGTTATTGTATAATTTAGTTTTCGATCTGAAGGAGATGATACATGTGGTAGCCACTTCAAGTGATGTGTCAGTACCAGCTCTTCACTGGTATGTGAAATTCTAAACATCCCAGATATTCAAATCTAAATGTGAAATGTGAATATGAATAGAGTATAAGAAATTATTGTGGCAGAAATACAGTAACTTGTTTGAATTCCCTCTTTATGGGAATGTTTTCACTTATCTTAGCCACCTCCCTTACCATCTTCCTTTTGGTGTAGAATTATCAAGTCACTACTAATTCTTCTTCTCTTTAAATCCTTGATTAGGTTTAAAAATGGTGTGGAGCTGCCCCTGGATGGAAAGTCTCGATACAAAGTGAAGGTTGAGGGTAAAAAGCATACTCTGATAATTGAGGAAGCAACCAAAGCTGACAGAGCAACTTATTCGGTGATGACAACTGGGGGACAGTCAGCTGCTAAACTAAACGTTGACTGTGAGTAAAGAATGGTTCTCTATTTGTGCTGGAAATTGTGCACATGATATACCTGTAAACTTTACTCATTACACATATAAGAAAGAAGCAAGGGGATGCCACTCTTCCTGTCAGTAGTGGTCGGCCTTTTGTGTTTTCTGTCCTGTCTATCAACTCTGTTAAGAGCGTGAGTCTTACGTTGTTATCAACAAAAAGCCCCCATTTTCTAAGAAGGACGTGTATAGATTTAGAGGCATTTTCTTGCTATATTTATCCATAGAACTTATAAAAGTATGTTATATTTAATGTTTTAAAGTTGGGATATTTTGTACCGAACAGGAAGACAAGCAACTCTTGCATCTAATTTTTTTTAAAAAAAATCTTAAAAGATAGTAACTGAAATCTCGTTCAGGTTGGCACAATATAAAGTTAAATCTACATAAGTGTGCTGGCCGTTACGTCCAGATACACAGTGTCACACAATTTGATTACATAATTGATTGTGCTGCTCACATCACAAATGCTGGGTGACATGCCTGTAAAAATGCTTTGTGGATACTTTTTCTGCCCTGCTGCAATTCTTCTTCCAGTTTTACAGCTTAGTGGTGTGTATGCATAGCTCTACGACAGGATTATAGTCTATGATTTTCATGTGCAAAAGATCAGATGCATCAGTTACTTGTTCTCCTTTTTTAATGAGGAAGTTACTAATATGTCAAATCTAACGGGTTGTTTTCAAGCTCTATCATTTATGGTAAGTTGGGTGGTAGGAGAAACACTGAATAAAGAGAGACATTGAAGTATCTGGAATTTGTGGGATTTGTAGGAATATATATTACTGTTTGAGAATTATTGCCCTAAAGAATTACTGGGTGAACCTACATGAGGCTTTCCCAAGGCTCTGCATCTCCAGAGGCTCCAGCATGTACTGTAAAAGCCCACTGGTATTGTTGGCTGGGGACATCTGGCAAACATAGCCCAAAGCAGTAACCTCTTTAAGCTTGGGTCCAGGCCTGCCAATATGCATTTCAGTTCATCACCATCAACTTGTGATAAACTGGCACCACAAATTTTGTCTCATGTTTTATTTCTGAAGTGAGACCGTTGAAGATCCTGCATCCGCTGGAAAACCAAACTGTGAGGCTTGGCAAAGAGCTGTCGTTGAAGTGCGAGATCTCTGAGAATGTGGAAGGCAAATGGTACAAAAACGGGCAGCTGCTTCAGCCCAGTGACCGTATCAAGATGCATCACAAAGGAAGGTAGGCACCCAAATAGGGCTGGATAAACTGAAATGTAATCCAGACAAGACAGAGAGGTACTTCTGGTCAGTCGAAAGGCAGATCAAGGAATAGGGATTCAGTCTGTGCTGGATGGGGTTACACTCCCTCTGAAACCACAAGTGCACACCTTGGGGACGTTCCTGGATTGTTTCTAAGCCTGGGTGCCTAGGTTATGGCAGTGGCCAGGAGGGCTTTTGCACAGTTAAAACTAGGGCACCAGTTTCTTGTGAGGTCTGATCTGGCCAGGTTGACACATGCCCTGGTTACATTTCAGCGGGATTACTGTAACACGCTCTGTGTGGGGTTGCCTTTGGAAAGTGTTCAGAAACTTGAGTGAGTCCAAAATGCTGCAGCCAGATTGTTCACTGGAGCTGGTTAAAGGCAACATGTAACAGCCCTTTTACCACAGCTCCACATCCGTTTCCGGGCACAATTCAAACTCCTGTTTTTGACCTATAAAGCCCTTAATGGTCCAAGCTATCTAAAAGATCACGTCTTCCTTTATGAGCCTGCCTGGGCATTAAGATATTCAGAGGAGGCCTTTCTCTCGGTCCCACCACCCTCACAGGAGCATTTTGTGGGGATGTGGGAAAGGGACTTCTCTGTTGCTGCTCCCAGACTCTGGAATTCCCTCCCATAGGAAGCCAGGCTGGCTCCATCTTTGCTGTCTTCCCGCAAGCAGGCAAAGACCTTTCTTTTCCGGCAGGCTTTTCCTTAGTGACTGGCAGTCTGAGAGAGGTTTTGTGCTCTGCTGCTTTTTAATGTGTTTTTTGTATTGATTTTATTTTCCATTTTAAATATGTACACCTGTTTAATTCTTTTTAAATATTTGTACAATTACTGTTTTTAACTTTTGTATATTGTCCTTTTAATGACGCGAGCTGCCCTGGGTCCTTTTGAGAAGAACGGCAGGGTAAAAATATTGTAAACAAACATTTTGCAAGTTCAGACTTAAAATGGGGTTTCATGGACAACATACTTAATTTGATATTCTCAACAAGTTTGTTTCTGTCACTGTATTTTCTTTGGAAGGGTATCTGTCTAGCAAATGATGCTTCTGGAAGAACAATTTGCCTACTTTGTGAACATGCATTTTCTTTACAGTGCATTATAATTCCATTTCCCAGAGCCATTCTTTTTAAAATAAAGACAACCTATTCTGAAATTCCCAAATTTCAACAAGCACTCATTACAGAGCTTTCTGGGGAAAAGAAAAGGGGAGCTGTTCTCCTCCCCCCCTCCCCCCCTCCCCAATTTTTGCCCTACTGTCAAAATATAGCTGAAATGAAAACAGATTATTTATTGGTGAATAAAACAGCTCTAGGACAAGAAGATATTTTAGCGTTTATTTAGAATTAGTTCTTCCTCAAGTGGACAAAGGTGTCTCATTGCCATAGGATGAGCTTTTCATCATCTCTGATTCTTGTTCACTTTCTTCTTTCATATTTCATCCATTGTTTGTCCCAGGAAACTGCCAAATTCTATACAGCTTAATGTCCTTTTCTGTAGATATTAAGAGTTTCACCTACTCTGTGTTGTCTAGGTACCATACCAGACCCTCACAATGCCTTGCAATCCAAATGTTGGTTTTCTTGTACCTATGTTAAAATTTTGTACTAGGTTAAAAAAGAATAATCTTTCCACAGAATCCATCGACTGATTATCGATAGTGCCCTTGTTGATGATGATGGTGAATACATGTTTGTTCCAGATGCCTATAATGTTAACATCCCTTGCAAAGTCCATGTTATAGGTAATTTCTTTGTGCCTCTTTTGTTTGATTTGTAGGATGTAGTCTTTAATATTCAGAAGCAGGCCTGCACAGATCACAGGTATAATCACAGTCTTTGAGGTTCCACTGGACCACTTGGCATTTCCCAATGTTGGGAAGTACCAAGTTAGTAATTGCACACATGTTTGGTTAAGCAAACAGCAGCTGTAGCCCCCACCATCCAAATATTTATCTTTTTCCAGTGTTCTAGTTCAGGGCTGTCACAACTGCTATTTGCTTTCATAATGTATTTATTTCTGCAGATAGTACTTGCTGGCTGCAGATGTTCACATTTGTTATTTTTATTCTGAATCTTGGTTTATCAGGGTTTATAGGTTTTTAGTTTTAATTTTCTGCACTGTTTCAAGGAAGCTTTTGCTGAAAAGCAGCCTATACATTTTTTTAAAAAAAAATAAAAATAAAAATATTAGGAGATCAGTGCACTTTCTGATGTTCCTTTTATCATGGCAATTCCTCAGATCCTCCTAAAATCCATCTTGATGGGCTTGGTGAAGACAATACAGTGACAGTTGTTGCAGGAACCAAGTTACGTCTTGAAATTCCTGTTTCTGGAGAACCTGCTCCAAAGATTATGTGGAGCAGAGGGGACAAGGTACAACCGTGATTTAGCATCGCATCTGTAGTTTGGTATCGCCTTTTAAAAAATAATGTGTTCTGTTATATTTTATAAGCAAATGTGTGTGGCCAAGGCAGAGCACAGAGTGATTTTTGCCAACAGAAATCATAGCATAGCTTTGAAGATGGAAATATGTATCTTCTGGCCTACATGAAATAGAAAACACTTTTATAATTGTGGTCCATCTTGCTCAGTACTGTCTATATGGGTTAGTTTTATACTAATTACGGTATCTATCTTGCAATGCTTGGCAGTGACTTTCTCTCTCTTCTCCAGCCTTATCTGAAGATGCCTGGGATTTTTCAACCACATTTTGCATGCAAAACATATGTTTGAAAAGTTAAAGATACTGACAGTTAGCTTAATGATTGTAGCACTATGTAATCTCTTATTCCAAAATCACTTATTAGTGTGTATTACTTAGGATTCTGTATGTATCTTAAAGGTACCTGTGCAAATTCTTTATTATCCTAATTTAACTGTGATCTGTCAGTGTCCCTAATATCAAATCTCTCTCCCCCACACCCTCACTCCTTCTTAAAAATAATTCTTAGTGGCTTATGGATCCTTCAAGCAGAATACGGGCAGAGAATTATCCAGACAGCAGTTGTTTGGTGATTGATTCAGCTGAAAGAGATGACTCTGGTGTCTACCGAATAATGCTAAAGAATGAGGCTGGAGAAGACACAGCTCACGTCAACATCAAAGTGGTTGGTAAGTGATATTAGTATGAGTCTTTTATATGCTTAATCCTTGCTCCATTACTTATAATTTTTCTTCATCCTCTCAATACACAACATATTTCAAAGTTCTTAGCTTTACACTGATTTTTTGAATTAGGCTAAACAATTGAGAAACAGTGATTTTTCCCAAGAGAACTCCTTTTGAATAGGGATTATTTAGCCTAATTTCAACTTCATTTTAGTGTTCAGAATCTCACCATAGTTCAGTGAAAGTCTAGTTTTTCCTCAAGCACAGGAGTATGTAAAAACCTCTCTGCTTTATAGATGTCATTAATGTTGTTAAGTACTGTACTGAAAAGTCATTTTTACCTTATGGTGACCCTAAAATAGTTATCAAGGCATGTGAGATGTTCAAGGAGTGTGGTCACCTCCAATGAGTTGCTAGGGCCAAGCAGGGCTTTGAACCCAGGTCTCCTCCTTCCTAGTCCAACACTCTGTCTACCGTACCATAATAGTCTTGCTGTACAGATAGATGAGCAGTTTTCTGAGCAAGAAGTATAAAAATTCAGACAAAACAAATGTATTCTTTTTTTTTTATTTCAACAGATATTCCTGATCCTCCAATGGCACCCAATGTGGTTGATGTAGGTGAAGATTGGTGCATAATGAACTGGGAACCTCCAGCATATGATGGTGGATCCCCTATTTTAGGTACATTTAGCATTCATATGGATATTTTGATAATTAGTAAAATCAGTAGAAGCAATAGAATGGGACCTTCTGTGCTTGTTGAGAATCACCAAGGGAGGCTAAACCTATTTTGCCTGTAGTTTAAATGTTAGGAAAGATGTGTTAAGAAACCTTAAGATAATGGTGCAGTGGTGAAACTGGTGTATTGTAGCCAAAACTGTGCTCATGACCCAAGGTTCAGTCTCAGGTAGCCAGCTCAAGATTCACTCAGTTGTCCATCCTTCCAAGGTCAGTAAATTGAGTACCTCTTCCAGATTGAGAATTGGTTGAGAACCAGCAAAGAGAGTGTAGGTGTCAATGGGCAATTTTTTGCAATGGAGGAGAGGTGAAAAGTGGTGTGCCCCAGGGATCTATCCTGGGACTGGTGCTTTTCAACCTGTTCATAAATGACCTGGAGACAGTGGCCCAGTTTGCAGATTACACAAAACTTTACCAGGTGGTGAAGACCAGAAAGGATTGTGAAGAGCTCCAGAAGGATCTCTCCAAACTGGGAGAATAGGCAGCAAAATGGCAAATGTGTTTCAATATAAGAAGATGTAAAACAATGAACATTGGGGCAAGAGAAAATCAAAACTTTATTTATCAGCTGATGGGTTCTGAACTGTCTGTGATGGATCAGGAAAGAGATCTTGGTGTGCTGGTGGACAGCTCAATGAAAGAGTCAACCCAGTGTACGGTGGCAGTGAAGAAGGCCAATTTCATGCTAGGTCTCATTAAAAAGGGGGTTGAAAATAAAACAGCCAGCATTATAATGCCATTGTAAAAAAGGCTGGTAAGGCTGCACCTGGAGTATTGCATACAGTTCTGGTCATCTCTCTTAAGTTTGCATGTACTTTTAAAAAGATCCCCTGGAATACCACATAATAACAAGAGGGAGAGGAGAGCCAATGAAAGGTGGATATTAAAATGATTTTTCAGATGTGTGCGAATACTTCTCAATTGTTATGCAGTTAATTTTCTTTTAGTCTGTAAGTGAAAAAGGCAATAGATTACATTTACATTTCTGGTCCCCACCTCTCAAAAAAGACATAGTGGAACTGGAAAAGGAGCAGAAGAGAGTGACTAAAATGATGACTGGTCTGGCGCACCTCCCTTATGAGGAAAGGCTACAGTGTTTGGGGCTCTTTAGAGAAAAGGGGTCTGGGGGGGACCTAATTGAGACATATAAAATTATTCAGGGGATGAATAAAGTGGATAGAAGGAAGCTCTTTTACCTCTCATGCAATACTAGAACCAGGGGACATCCACTCCAATTGAGTGTTGAAAGAGTGAGAAGAGACAAAAGAAAACATTTCTTTACCCAGCGTGCTGTTAGTCTGTGGAACTCCGTGCCACAGGATATGGTGATGGCATCTGGCCTAGATGCCTTTAAAAGGGCATTGGACAGATTCCTGGAAGAAAAGTCCATTGCAGGTTACAAGCCATGATGACTTTCCTTTTTCTGCAGAATGTAAGTGGTGTTTTAAAAATTCAAATATCACTATGTTGCCCAAGTCAATCAAATAATTTCAGTTTTTTTCAATTTCCTTACTCCTGATATGTCACAAATTTGAGGAAATATATCTCTGCACATTTTTCTTTAGGATACTACATTGAAAGGAAAAAGAAGCAAAGCTCTAGGTGGATGAGGCTAAATTTTGATCTTATTAAAGAAACAACATTTGAGCCTAAAAAGATGATTGAGGGAGTTGCCTATGAAGTCCGTGTGTTTGCCGTCAATGCCATTGGTACCTCCAAACCAAGCATGCCCTCAAAGCCTTTTGTGCCATTGGGTGAGTAATTGATATACATGTGTTTAAATAAACTAGTTATTTGAAGAATACTTGCAATACTCTTCCATCATGAGATTAAGAGTAGTCGTTTTTTAAAATTAAATTTTCTGTAGTTTGCACAACATTTCTTTGTGCAAAACTATTTTCAAACCTCCAGAACATGGCCAAACAGCCCGAAAAACCTACAACTATTTTCAAAATATTTTCTTTTCAATTTATGAAAAAATGGAACTAGTATATGCTAGCAGGAGCTAGTATAGATTTGTACCAGTTGTACAATTTATGTAATTTTCACAAAAAATATTCTTAGAAATGTGACCTCTATTTTTGAGATTATACAAGGCTGTCTACCTCACAGGTGAGGAGAAAATAAAAAAATGATAGTTTATATCAATTAAAAAACAGACAATTTCTGAAATCTATTTAGTTCAATAGTATTATATATTGTGAGTTTATTGTCCTATGGAAGACGTTTACATAGATTCAGAACTGAAGAAGAAACACACCATATTTAAATTAAAATGGCACATCAAGGCTCCATGGAATCAGGAAGCTATGAGACAAAGTTAGGTCATGTCACCTTGGAGGTGCAACAGACACAACAACTTTCCTACATTTTGGATTCAACCAAAGAAATGTTGCTTTTACCAACAGATTGGACTGATACAGTACCAAAAATAATCTCTTGTTCAGATTATACACTGTAGATTATGGTGATAATGAAAGAATAGTTTATGATGGATAAGGGATACCATTACATCCCATATCCTGTATGACAGCAATCTGTTTTAGAATTTCATGGTGTAAAAACATTGTTACTGAATTAAATGTGTGCTGACCTTTATATGGTCCATCTCCTTTTTTAAGGGCAAACATCCATACAATGCCCTTTATTGCACTCATGCTGCTTATTTTTATGTTTAACCTATGTTTATGATTTTTTAATTTATGTGTATACCACCCTGAGACTCCAGAGAATAAGGGTACAACCCTAACTAGTCAAGATGGCTCAGGTCTGCTGCATTGATGCTTAATCCGATGAGGTTATGCTAAATCCAAACCCTTCCTAGTTTGAGGATGTTGGATATCATCACTTCCCTTATCCCTGTCTTAAATTTCTGCTAGCATAATGGCTGAGTCTGGGCTGGGAAGGGTATGGATCTGGCATAATGCAGGTCCTTCTCCACCCCCATTTTAAAATCTGCCATCTGATATCAGTCAGCACAACAGTTGTGTTGGCAGATCCAGTTATACTAGTAGATCTGAGATCAATCAGTAGAAGGAGGTTGTGCTGACACAAGGGCAGTTATTTTAGCACACAAAGTTTCTGCCCATTCCAGACCCATTACAGCCAGCTCATATTTGAGTCTGGGTTGTACTGCCAGTGTTCTATGAAATATTTTCAAACAACAAGTAATCACTTTTTATGGTTGCTAAACATTGTGCACAAGTCAGACTAAATATCTTCCAACAGGTGTATGTAAAGTTCTTCATCCCAATAAGTCTCAGAAATATAGGTGGCTAGTTCCAAGAATGGCAATGATGTGAATCCATAAATCAGTTATACTAAGATCCAGAAGAAGGGATGAACCAAACAATATGTAAAGTACTTCAACAAGTGGGCAGCGATGCAGTCAGACCCTAAGGTTGTATCACTAACCACAGATGTTGCCTTTCATTGTTTTTTAGCTGTCACCAGTCCGCCCACCTGCCTGGCAGTTGATTCTGTAACAGATACTACAGTTACCATGAAGTGGCGGCCACCAGACCAAATTGGAGCTGCAGGTTTAGATGGCTATATTATAGAGTATTGCTTTGAAGGAAGTAAGTAGCAGTCATTTTGTGCTGCTTCAACTAGGTGAGATATGGCCTTTTCTAACTGAGAAAGAATCAGATACAAAATAAGTGAAGATTCTCTGAAGCAAAGTTTTGAGGTTCTGTTGGATTTAGTTTCTAAACTGTTGTTCACTCTGATTATAAAAATACTGGTCTTCCATCTTTAGCTCTCCTTCTAGATCAGTGGTTCATCCTGAAACTCTAGAGAGTATGTATTGTATTGCTACTAAAATGTTAGGTCTGCCTGCAGTGACATGACTCTTCTGTAACTGAAAAATAATGGAAAGAGAAAAAAATAAAAGGAAAGTTAGGTATTTGTTACAGTGGACCCTCGACTTACAGATGGCTCCACTTGCAGACTTTTCAAGTTACAGACTTCTCTGGTCGCAAAATTTAGGTTCGACTTGCAGCCAGAGAATCGATGTACAGACCAGAAAAAAACCAAAATGGAACAAAAATGGAATAAAAATGGCCGGTTACAGGATTAATCGGTTTTCAATGCATTGTGGGTCAATGGAGCCTCGATCTAAAGACTTTTCGACCTGCAGCCACCGTTCCAATATGGATTAATTCCTACATTGAGGGCCCACTGTAAATGTGTTCAGTGTAGAAACATGAATCCCCACACAGTGCTATTTTACGTAATCAATCCTTCTATATGCATGAAGTCAACACAACATTTGAAGCTGACCTGTTGAATATTGATGTGTCCAACTAGTCTTGTGAATGCTTCATTGAAACAAGCAGCAACATATCCTGGTTCCAGATTCTGTGAGAGTTGTGATCAGAACAAAAAGCAAAACATTTCAAAGACCAGTTCAAAAACATCTTAGAACACTGTTAATATGTTCCTTTCACTAGGTTAAGGAGTAGTTATTTCATGACTTGCTCCAAAGGCAAATCTCATGGGTAACAACAGTAGCTTATATTTTTCAAGAACCATCTTTAACTAGTCTTTTTGAGCACCAGTTCATTTGAGTGTTTTTAAGATCCTTAGTACTCAAAGACAATATTGGTGAATGTCCAAAAGTAGCTGCCATCAGGCACCAAGAAATGAAAACAATTATAAACTGTGTTTGACAATATTTGTCTGATTAATGAAAGCCTCTCCGTTCATAAACCTTAGGTCAATAACCTGGTATACATACATCTAGAAATCAATCCTATCAAATTCAGTGTGGCTTACATATAGCTCACATTTTGGATTGCTTGTGGTATTGTCTGGTGAGAGCTATTTCCTGGTGATCACATGACATACAGGAAACTGCGAACCAACTTGACTCTGATCCATCCCCAAGCTGGGGTATTATGGTCCAGCAGCAGGGTTACTCTTTGGGGAAGGGCAAGCCACAGCAATTCCTGCACAGACAGAAGGGTTTAGGAAGATCGTTCCCAGCAAAGCAATCCTTTTTAGTAAAATCAGATGTGATCCTTCTTGCCATCTGATCACACCCTTAGTTTTAAGCAGACCTGCATAAACAAGTATAGTATTGTTCTGTATACATACCCATAGTCTTTGTTTACATAACAGCTTATCTGGAATAGAAAATGTAATTTTTGTGTACTGATAGGCAGAAGCTGAACTGATGACAGAGCCATCATCTACAGAGCCTGCCTGAATAAGTATTTATTTCAGAACTGGCTGAATGTGGACTGGACTACTTAAAGGAACGAAGCTGCCTATATTATACAATGAAATTGTCAGTGTGTAAATGTTGATGAGATCTAAAAAACCTTGATCATTTGCACATACTGAACATACCACTCAAGAGCCCTTTTTAAGTAGGAACAGCTACTGACTTGAGGAAAAGAACAGCAGACGTTGGCATAACCTAGAATGAGTGAGGAAACTGGATATATTTTCATTTCTGAAATTCTATAACTTAGCACAATAAATTGCACTAGAGTAGGCCCATTTAAACCAATGGATTGTATGGAGAAGTTAATTCACAATTTATTCAATGGGCCTAACTCTAGTGTGATTTACTTTTAAACAACAGGATTTCAGCCACTGTGTGAGATGCAAAATCCAGTTTATTTGGGGAAGTATTTTTACCCATTTTGTGATACCTAGAAAACAGCTCTTCTAGGAAAAGTACAAGAGCAGAAAATAATTGTGCTACAACCTCCAAAATCCTATTAGTTAAATGCTCCAGTTTAAATCTTAGCAGCAAATTACCTCAAATTAAGACATCAGCATAGGCATTTGTTGTTATGTGCCAAATCACAGAACTCAGCATGCAATTGAAAATGCCGATGCTGACTTCTTAATTTGTGGCAGTTTGCTACCAAGATTTATACCAACTGCATTATGCCAGGCATAAAACCATAAAAGAATTCCAGTCATAAAGTTAATTTTACTTGATACAACCCTATATATGTAGTTTACACTCCATGAAGGCTTGGCAAGACAGTGTAGTTCACATTCCATGAAGACTTGGCAAGTTGTTTGAAAAGTATCTCTTTCCAGAGTTAGTAAATGGAACACATTATGATCTGCACAGGAATGACAGACATGTCTAGGAAACAGGTTATAGTCTACGGTTCCAACTTTGCAAAGCTTGGAAAAGTTACTTCGTGGGACTGCAACTCTCAGAATACTCCAGCTAGCAATATATATATATATATTTAATGCAATATTTGCACATCATAGGCTCTGCAGAAAGTTTTCACTTAATGGGATTCAAAATCCTCTCCCTGTTAAACATCTATTGCCATGCAGGATCATTTCTATATACTGAAAATAAACCAAGAATCATATGGCACTTAAAGACTCACAAGTTTTATTTGGAATCAGTTTTCATAAATGGCATTCTATCTGCATCTGAGAAACTACAATGGTAGTACCAATGAAGTGCCTTTGCCAAGTAAAAGAGGTTGGTCTTTAAGATGTCACAAGTCTGACTGCTATTTTTATTAAACCAGAATCCCCCAAACCAGCTACATTAACAAACTTTCACTAAGCTGCATAAATATTTCCAGAAACAAGAGCTTAAGCACTGGAAAAATGAGGATGAAAACATTCAGAGGTGCATTATTGAAGTCTACCCAATGCACTTTGAATATATTACTCTTTGTAGCAGACCAAATTGACAGCAGGTTGTTCTTCGTGCAGTGAATAAAATGCAAGTATAAATTGGTGTTTTATGGTTATCAGTGGGCTGTATTTTGTCTATTTTTGAAACTGGCAGACTTTAGCTTGCTGGAAAAGTAAACTTGCCAAATATTAAGGGAAATCTAAGGAGTTCTGAGCAACAATCACCAAAGTGACATATTTTAGCCATATAATATGTTTTATGAGCTGGTCACCCAACTGTAATAAATAAATTCATTCATTCATTTAAACTGACCTAAAGATTGTGCTTTGGCGAATCAAAGCTGATTCACATCATAGAGGGAGGGAGGGAGGGAGGGAGATAAGTAGGTAGATACTGATGTTGTGAGGAGGGCAACATCACAGGTTGATTCTGGTCATCATAAACTGATGTTGTAAAAGTCCTGATATTAATTAACATGGTGGTTTTCGGCTGCCATTAGAAATATGACTTATGAAAAGCAGTGTTGGTTCATAATCTCAAGACATGTAAGGAGGAGCTTTCATGAATAATCTTCACCCTAATGAAAGCAATTTAGCTTCTGGTAATAGTGACACACAACCACTGTATAAATAGTTGAGGTTGTATGCATTGGATGCTGGCTGCTTTTCAGGGAACAATCACAGAAAGAAGTCTGAATCCAGTTAGAATGTGATAAGCCTGCTGGACAGTAAAGATAAAAGTTGTGGGAGGGAATAATAAGTCTCCTGTGGAACACTTAAGGATTTAGTGGATCAAATGTCCTTGTGTACCTGTCGAACAGAGCCAATCCTTTACTTTTGTCTTTCAGATAGGTTTAAAAGCATTAAGAAGATATCTCAAAATGACAGCCTGCCATTTTGATGTTACCCACCTTAGATAAAATACAATAGTGGTGTATTTTACAAACAGATGTGTGCATTCTGTATATTCTACTTATGCTTTGCATATCTAGATATACAATTATATATTTGTATATATACAATTAATGCAACTCATGTATATATGGTAACGTTTTGGAATGAAACTTTCTTGGGAAAAATACTTCATGTTTACTGTATCTCTTGCTCTGCCTTGTCTCCTTTCTTTACTCTTTCATTATCTGAATATCTCTGTTCTTCATCTTTCTTTCCAATATCTTTCCCTCAACTAATTTTGCTACAAAATAATATTTTGCCTGGATCTCCAGGTATACCTTCTTTGACTGTCAGTCTTTCGGCTATCAGTTCTTCAGTTCTACCTTTATTCTCTTCAACTTCCTTATCCTATCAATTGTTTTCTATTTCTCAATTTTTCTTTCCCTCCTGTCTATTGCCCTTGAATGGGGTATTTTTTAGGCCTGCTTTATTCACATGCAACTTTTACAATAGAAAAAAAAATATACAGGGTGACTTTGGCAAAACAGGTAGTTACCATGGATCCTTAATGTAAGTGAAGAAGATGGTCAGTTTTCAGGGGAACCAACATTGCATCCTGTCTAGATATACGTAGATAGGCCTGAAGGATAAAGCTTTGATTTGGTGGCACAATCAGATTTATCGATTGTTTTAATTCATTCAGTTCCTTTTTCATTTACAGTGTCAAGAACTTAAGGTTTTGACAATAGAAGGTAGGGAAACAAACACCTACATAATTTGTGGCTCCCTATCCTTCTGTGTGAAAACATTGGTTTGTGTCCTTCATCATATCAACTCTTAGCCAGCAGCCTGAAGGAAATTTTCCCCTTCTCCTCCCTTTGCATTCCTCTATATTGGCTGGAATGGTTTCCCAGCCCTACAGAGCAAATTTTGGGCCTGCGAGAGGAATTGTAGTATCAAAAAGGGATTATGGACATTGATTCTACTGATAAAAGTACGTAGTTCCCTCAGTGGATGTATCCTGTTGGATCCCAGTTACTGTAAATACAAAATAGGTTACTGTAGATTCATTTTACACAAATGTGCATGCATGCACAGACATTTGAAGTGTGCAAAGGACACAGAGGTCTTCTTTAGCTAGTCATCATAAAGAGAGCTCATTACCTGTTTTGTATTTCTTTTTCTCTGGGCCCAACATGGAAAAAAAAGGGGGGGATATGATGGCACAAAATGACCAAGTTTTTATCCCATGTATTGAGCCAAAGAGTGAGGTAAAATATGGTTTGCTCAATCCAAGCAAAGTCAAGAGCCCTTTGCCAAGTAATGTTCGTTCTCCAAACACATTATTTTTCTAGTGTGAATTCAAACTGCAGATATGCCTATTAAGAACAGATACAGGAAATTCAGTATCAGCGTTTTAACGGAACATGAAACAAATTTGCACTGGGTTGTCGTGAGCTGAGATTGCCAGCTGACTGCTCCCGTGTTCTAATTTTCCATTTTCTGCCTACTTAATAGCCCAAGCCTTTGTTAGCAGTTAGTTATGCCAGTAATCTCCGGATCAGCTCTTTTCTATTTCTTCTAGCTTTCTCTTATTCTGGACTACACTTTAATCTTTTCTTTCTGTTAAATCTTCTCTTTGGATTTCTTCTATCTTTTTCCAAAATTCTGATCTGTCTCAGTTTCTTTCTCTCTCTCTCTTTTCCTCTTTTCCTTTCTCTCTCTCTCTCGCTCGCTCGCTCTCTTTCTCTTTTTTCTTTCTGTCTAGGTGCTCATTATATCAGTCAGAAAGGCTCTTTTGCCTGTGACTGTAAATCCCCATGTATGCTTTCCAAATCATTTAGGTCCCCAGGCACCCACTACAGAGGGCATGGGAGACAGTGGTGGTGGTTCAGAGAAAATTAATAGTGAGGAGGCAGACGGGGGCCAGACGCAGGCTGAAGAGAAGACACCCAAACCCTGTGAGTGTTCAGCACCACCTTTTTCTTTCTTTACTTTCCCCTCGTTTCCTTGTGCTGTTTCTCTTTGCTTGGAGTGTCAGTTTGACAGAAGCAAAAGAGAACACCAAACATCTGTGGGAATCTCAAACAAACACATAAGCACATGCTTATACCAAATTTTGGTTTTGTTATTTTTGCCTTTTCCTTCATCTTCCCAAAGCTCCTTTTCAAGGTGCAGTACATATTTCTGTTGTATTATACTTACTAACAGTGAGTACTAACTACTCACATATTTATTGGCTGTGTGAAAGTGGGTGTCTTTGAATTAATTATAATGATGGACTCTCATAAGGTATTCCAGCAGACCTATATGATGGTGAATTTCTGGAGGCAACTTATGATTGGGAAGGTAAAGTATACAATATAGCTATTTAAACATTCTTAATGAACTCTTTCCCCACCTCCACCAATAATAGAATAATGAAGTTTCTAGGGAGCACTGACTGCTATATATTTCCGCAAACGTGCCATAAAATTGAGTTAACTTTGGAAGCCTTCAGGCAACTGAATTTATTATACAATGGCCCAAATTATGTTACTTAGTTACATTGGTATAGCACAAATGGTGCAACTTTTGGAGGTGAATTGCACCAGCCTAAGAAATCACCATAGCCATTATTAGTTCTGTACTGAGTTGTATGACTCAGTACAGGACTAATGTATATGATGGGCAATTTACCACCAAACGTTATGCCATTTTTGTAGATATGCAAGAGGATTTTGGCCAATATTTAAATTTTAATTAATGAAACACTTTATAGGTACTATTTTGCGCTTTAAAAAAAGCAACCCTGTGAGGTAGGTCATTATTGCTATTAATTCCTGAATAAGAAACCATCTTAGAAAAAGTTGTTTATAGCTGAATAGGTTTGGAACCCAAGTCATAGATGTGCCCAAATCTGGTGCTTTACCTACCAAAGCACATGGGCTTTCTACTACAACAATAGGAATTTATTGATTTGTTTGTTTCAATTTTTACACTGCCCCATTAGTGCTGCCATTCTCTGGGTGGTAAGGAACATGGTTTGTTTCTTCTACTAAGCGCAGAAGAAACAATTAGACATCATTTGTATATGGAAATACACTTTTTGAAGAACTGATTGAGATCTCTATGTTTATATCTGTAGAAAATGCATGATTAAGAACTGACTTATTTTTTTGGTGACTGTCTGACTGAAGGTTACATGCTTTACATACCACACAGCTAAATA